GCTCCATTACCAAACTTTGCTTGGACGCTCCTGCCTGATTCATAATGACTCATGTATTAAATGACAATAAATTGAACACAGCAGACAATGAATCATCTCTAAAGTCACCTTGTGCTATTTCTACAGCCTTATCAGGAACCGGATGAGTGATGGTGATAAAGCTGCCGTCCTGTGAATAACTCTGTTTCTCTGGTACCAGCCTCTGTCTCGCAGTTGTTAACATTACATCTGACAACTTAGGACAATTAAGTGATAGTAACCTGAGACACAAGTAAGTGTTGAATAAAGGGTTTGTTTTAGTCATTTATAAAGAACCTGGCGGTTTAAAGCAATGCAGTAACTATGTTTTTATTATCACTTTCATTTGCCAAGTTATAACATGCTAGGAAAAGCAGAGTTCCTAATGGGCTCATTAATGAATTCACTATCAAGCAAAGAACACAATTAGCAGTTTGTATTCACGTATATACCATAAAGAAAACAAAGCTTTTTTTCCATAATCTGGCTGCACTCACCCTAATCAATGTTCTTATTGCTTTAGAGATTTAGGTATTATTACTTAATTCTTAACTAAAAGAAAAGAAAACAAGTTTGTAACTCAGTCATATCAGAAGCAGCCAATTTCATTGTACACAGTCTATATAAGTTTCAACTTGTCTGAAGTGTGAATAAAGCAGGAAACTGCACCCATGAGCACAACTGGTCCATGTACTGTAGCAGCAACGAGTCTGTTTTACTTTAACTATCATTAGATTATTATTATTAGATTATTGCAGATTGATATTGCTTAAAGAGGCCTTTAATACTTAGTGCTTGTGAGAGGCACTAAAATGTATGTAGGATATGCAGAGGAAGTGAAGATTAGCATACTTGATTTTACATCAACTCCTTCTTTCTTGTTGCTGTGCAACAAAAACAGAAAAACAAAGTTGCCATCAAGCGATAATCTACCTAAAAATCAAAGCTAAACACATCAATATTAATGTCTAAAAGCAAGACTAAAGCCTGCACAAGAACAAAGCTTAAACAAAGGACAGAAGCTGACAAAACACACCGTAATCTCCTTCAGACCAGGTTAGGTTTATAGTCTAAATTACCATGGCATTGTATCCTGGTAAAAACCCCTAGTTAAAAACAGGTTGCCTCACCAACTACAAATCCTTTTTCCATAGCGGAGGCCTCAGCTCTAGGCTACTGCTAATCTGCTAACTGATTCTTCAGAGCCACGAGAACAGTGTGTGTGGCCATGTTTCACTCAGGAGATAAGAGGAACACTTGCTTCTCCCTACATCTCAATAAAACCCTTCCGCCACTCAAGATCCACTCCGAGCTTCCTCGTCCAACACCCCTTCACAACCTCTGGCAATGAAGTCCTTCCCCCAGTGGCAGCTGGGAGACGGGGAGGGAGTCTTACACCGATTTCCTTGGGAAAAACTCCTCCCCACCTGGCCCCGGTGAATGGCTGCCCCACAGGAGGATGTGAGGGTGCCTCAGAGGATTAGGCCTGGAGTCTTCACAGACCATTATCAAACAGCATGAGTCAGAACAGAGGTGATTAGACACTGAAACCAATGGCCTGGTTTGATTTCGTATTCCCTGACAGAAAAAATAAAAAAGGTCACGTCAAAGGTTTCCTGCTGTAAGCAGTCCTTCACATGATTTGATTAACACTGCCTCACACGGAACTTTTAATGTTGCGTTAATAATTAGCCTGAAGGTCGGTAAATAACCCGCAGTGAACAACATAGGCCGAATACACATACACAAGCTGAACCTGCATTCCTCACTGGCAGCCAAGGTCAAACTGTTGTACTGAGGAGTTTTAGGGGGAATTCTGGTGTTCAAAAGTGAAACTAAAAGTCTCCCATTTACTGTCTGTAACATGAAACATTAAGATACATCTGTATTATTTTGACTTTATCAGAATTAAATTGACATTTCAGCACTGGAGATGTCTTAAAGAGTGAAAAGGACAAAACCTGTCAGAAAAACAAAACAATCTTCTCAAACTCCTCTGTGCTCGACGCAGGCTCTTAAAGGATCCAGCCGTGCCAGCTGACCTCAGTGCATAGGCATGAGATGATCCACTTAAACTCCTCCATCAACAAGCCCCCCCACCTCCAAGACCTCTTCAGAGACACACACACACACACACACACACACCAAGCTCTGGATCCACTCAAATCATTTCCTCTGGACAACACACACTTCTGGGCCCCTGAGGTGTGAGCCCATTGTAAACTTTACCACCAGTTTGACAATCTACAGCCAAACTGGTGTCCTGTTAGCGCCCAGCTGCCGAGTCCACGCGGGCTTGTGTCGGCACAGCTGTGTGCGGCGTGGAGAGGAGAGGTCAGAGGGGAACCGTTCGTTTACTGCACATGAAGCAGTTTATCACATGCAGTGTTATAAAGGGTGTGGTGGTGTTTTTTCATTTAGGCCCCAGTAAAGTTGTGTTACTTTGCACTCAAATAAAGAATCTTGTTACGACACCAAGTTCTCTGTCTTTGTGTAGATTTTTCCTTTCCAGTCACCTTTCTCACTCACTATGTATTAACAGACCTCTCTGCATTAAATCATATCTGTTATTAACCTCTGTCTCTCTTCCACAGCATGTCTTTTATCCTGTCTTCCTTCTCTCACCCCAACCGGTCGCAGCAGATGGCCGCCCCTCCCTGAGCCTGGTTCTGCCGGAGGTTTCTTCCTGTTAAAAGGGAGTTTTTCCTTCCCACTGTTGCCAAAGTCCTGCCCAAAAGGGGGCAAAAGAATGGTGGGGTTTTTTTATCTGTATCTATGAAGCGCCTTGAGGCGACTTATGTTGTGATTTGGCGCTATATAAATAAAATTGAATTGAATTGAATTGAATCACTAAATACGACACGAGCAAAGGTTTTCTCATGCTAAGAGTTTTTTAAAAAGTCCTTCACTACATTTATTACATAAAGTCTTTTACAATAACATCACAGCATAGCTTGATGTCTGCAGGGTGATTAGAATATTATATATAAAATGGCTTTTAGATTGTCAACTGACTGTAAAGTGCGGAAAGGAAGTTGATGGAGGGTTTTATAGATTCAAATGAGATTCATAGAGGCCATCTAACTGGAACAAGCACTGCTGAGAACCTTTAGCTGATGTGGGTAATCCACTGAAAGAGCTCTATAGAAGGGGTGCCAATGTGAGAGGATGTAAAATAATTTATTCTGAAAGAAAGTCTTGTAAGGAGCAAAAAAACAAAAGCAATTCTCTATAAATTAGTTTGCATTGTATATAATTGATTTGCACAGATATATGCAACATTTGTGCTGACATACAGGACGAGGAGCTGTCTGGGATTTCAGTCTGAGTTCAAATCGATGCAGAACAGAGTTGTGGCAGGCTCACCTGAGACTCCATGTGATTTCCGCTACAGACAATTAGGTAGAGAAAGAGTTCCAGTCCAGGAGCTCCATTTACAAGCCCACTCAGAGATGTAGCCATCATCTATGTCCACAACCCTATGCCCACTGGTCTGGAAAAGCTGCAGTGAATGGAGATGATCCATCCGTCCCCCTAGAACCCCTTTAAAGCTGTACATTCTGCACACACAGCTACATTCCTGCTTGGGGTTAAGTAGGTCACGGGGAACCCTTATCTTTGAGAGAGTCATTTCATGCAGCCTCAGGCCTGTTAATGCCTGGATGAACCTTGTCACAGATTAGACACATATTTTTCTTTTTTTGAAATGTCAGAATATATGGATTACACCTGTCCTCGGGCTACAGGGGTTGCAACTGTGCAGTTTCACATTCTAACGCAGTAATGAAAGGTACATTTTGACTAAAATGATTAGGGGTACATATAAGTTACCCTACATCCTTAAATTTGTCTGGGGGAGAAAAAAAAAAGCACCTTGGTTGATCATTATTATGTGCATGGCCCCTATCCAAAACCTGCAAGTGGCAATAAAAACGCCCTCTTTTCACTTCAAAATCCTCTGACCTTTTAGAGACACCAGAGCTGGACTGTAACCACAGCCTTTTTATTGTTTACCTTGAAGAGACCGGTCTTCCTTTCACCACATGCATTCCTCCAGCCTGTTAACCACATCCAATCATCACCTTCCACAGCAAGCACATTACCAGCTGCCCTGCCCCTTAATCACCATCCATCCATCCACACAGCAGGGGGGCAGGTCAGTCACACTTTAACTCCAGCTGAAAAGGATTTAACCGCAAGTGGGCTTTACTGCCAGGATGATTATGTACAAGTCACATGGGCTATAAAAAAAAAACAAAAAATGTGAGGACATTTACTTGGTGCAGAGTGACATTTTGAGGAAACAGACACATAATTCATGGAGGGCGGCACATGTCTCCTTCTCGCCAAAGCTGAATCAGTGGAATAGGCGTGGGGGGGGAAAGGCCACCATTTATGCATTGGTAGTCTTCAGCAACAGTGAAAATCCAGCACCAAATGTGTTCAGTAGAGGAGAGAAGAGAGGTGTGGGGGTGGTGGAGGACTGAAGGACAGAGCAGGCAGATACAAAGAGGCCCTGTCTATGTTGTGGCTCTGTGACTAAAGATAATGAACACTAAAATAATATGTAATTTGAGTGGTCCCCAGTATATAAGGTCAGCACTACTGGCTAGACTACCCATCTTGGCTGCCTGAGACACATTCAGGTTTGATGTGCAAGTGTTCAGGGGTTTCAGCTGTATGAAGGGGGTTGGCCAAGATCCACATCCACACAAAGAGGCTCTCTACCAGCCAGGAGTGTAGGAGGAGAGTTCATTGCTCTCTCAGCTGTGCCTCTCAAAGCCTCTACATTTCCTCTATTCTTCTATTTCCAGCATTTTACATTCACCTCAGCTGTACTGCTGTGTTATGTTAGCAGTGTCCTGGGTAACCAGATATACCAGCAGGAATAAACCAACATATTAAAACCCTATATCATGAAACTAGTCACTTTATAGACAGCAATCACCAGCGCTTAGGTCATATAAAATATATATATTTACCTTCCCCCATTGGGCCCTGGTAGAGAGCAGAATGGGTCCCCTCTGGCATGGCACGTGGGCCTCTGGTGCACACAAGAGAAAATGTGAAGGGTCAAAAGAGAATAGAGGCATTTCACAGCAAGACAAAGCGTAATATTAAGGGTAATATTAATTCGATTCACTGGACTGAGCTGTAATTGTGAAAAATGCTTTGTTTCTTTACAGAGTCATTCTTGTGTCACGTGGCTCTTCAATCTTGACTAGACACAGCTTACTGAGCTACTACTGAATAAAACACAGAAATTTTCCATTCCCTGCTTACAGCTGTGTTGGCTCATGTTAGCCCCTGGATAATGCAAAGTGGCGGCAAAGGTTTTGGTATGCAGAGGATCAGGAGCTCATGCTAAATAGTGTAAGAACCCACTGAACATGGACATAAGACAGCTCGCCTTTCGTCTGATTGTCGACCTCTTGTAAACAGAACACATCAAATCAGAATAATCTTTTATTACAAATATAACCGTCTAGTGAGATTACAGGTTCTCCCATGGTGGTAAATATTTGTCATTTATCCCTTATGCCAGGCTGCTGTGTTCTTAATAATGAGCCATGTCCTTTCCAGAGCCACTGTGCTGCCAGTTTCTCACATCGCTGCCTCTCGGTCTCCTTACAGCAAATTAACACGGTGCATGAGAACTTGTCTCTCTGTGATTCCTGGTGAGCCTCCGGCCTTTTAAGCATCACATTCTTGGTCCAGCTAGATCAGAGGAATAGGAATTCTTCAGGGATTAGGATGGGCATTGTTCGTAGTTCATCTGCTGGCCACTGTGCAGAGTTGACAGCCAAGCCAGCCGAGGCCAAACGGAGCCCGCTGCCAGGAGGTTCACCAATTAAGATGTGCAGGAATGTAAAAAGAAAAGTCACTGAGCTCGATCTATTAAGATCACTGCCACATTGTGGGGTCCACTGGCTGGCATAAAGTAAAGACTGTTTGGGACCCCCCCAAAAAAAGCCACAACAAAAATTATGACACATAATTCTTATTATTATTTAAGAATCCCAGAATGAACTAGGACAAGTACGTAATGAGAAAAAAATCCTCCTTTAAAAAGTTAAATGTAGGTTTTGTTTTACGTTTACTTAATTACCTAAAGATATCCTGTGCAGTGTTGCACCACTGGTAGCACTTTTACACAATGTCTTTTGCAATGGCAGGAAAACACAGATGCAAGAATGCATGCACACAGTACACGATAAAGACTAATGCATGGCTTTAAAATATCTCATTCATTTACACCATGTAGGTTCTGCAACAAAAGGTAAGAAAACTGTAGCTAGCAAGTACAGATGTAAATGCATTCTGAAATTAACAAGCAACACCAGTTTTTATTGTTAACATAAAATGATTAAAATGAATATTTAAATAAAACATTGTAAAAATACTTAATAGAATTATTTTTAATATTCCTGAGATAAGAAAGTGACATCCAACCAACATATGAGTTCTATTGTGTTGCCTTGCACAACTGGTATCAAACGCTGCAAAAACTCAATAAATTTGACCTTTGACTAAGCTCGGCCAATTGATTTTCAAGTGCTGGGTTAATATACAAAAACGCAGTACTGATGCTGAGAAACAGGCTTTGAACTTTTCCCATTGACCAGTGAACTAATAAAATCCTCTGATAATCCCACCCACTATGACCTCTGAGCTAACCTTGCCAAATGACCGGACCAAAACTATGTTAATCTGTCTTTTGTCAATCAGAGGCTAGACTGGGAATAATGGGCTCAAACCTAGATACAGTGCAGACGTCTGGGTCTTAAAAATGTCTTATCAAAGGCTGCTTGTAGCTGTAGAACAGTGGCTTGGGATTGTAAGTTTTAAGATGCCTAACAGGACACTGTAACTTAATCTTAGAACATCTGGACAGTATCATCAATTGGAACTCATTAACTTTTACCTACATTAGCTGACATATGGCAAATCCTTGTTTTCCTAGGGAGGGACAGTGGACAAATTTTGAGTCTTAACAAAAACATGAAACACACGCCCAACATTCATGCCAAACTGACCACCTGTGCTTGAACTAGTTGTCATTTCACACAAATGGAGAACATTTGGTTCCCACAGCTGATGACTGCCCTAACCGCAGCATGAACCTCCCATATGGGAATTTGCAACTTGCCCCTTAATTGAAGACAGATGCCACAAGAGCCAGGCTGACAGTTATTAAAAGAAAAACCTGCAATGGATCATTTCTTTAGACCAGCTGATAAACTGGTCTGAAGAAATGTTCCTCTAAACGGCAGGCTTTACAGTGATCCGCATGATCGGCAGCAAGAACCCAAATTCCTTTCTTTAAGCAAAACAAACTGACATTTAAGGGGAACAGATGCTGGCAAACATGCAGTACTTGTGCAACTAAATAGGAAATGTCATCAGCGCGGTCTGAAAACACGCAGACAAATGTGTACCTTGAATCAACATCTCTGGTTTGATATGTTATAGGAAAGTCCCCAGGGGCTGATAGCGATCTATCTGGAGCTTTTTTTCGTTCGTGGATGTTATGTGGAAGTGAGACTGAAGAACATGTCTACAGAGGAAATCAGAGAAAAACAATACTTCTCCTCTTGGGTATGTGTGCCACTTTCTCTGTCTCTCCAGGCATATACAAGGAAGATGACATCATACTGCCAACTGTTTGATTGCATCTGCTTTTAAAACACTCCCCAAAGAAAGCTTCCATGCACAGGTTGTCCTACTCCCAAATGATGACGCACAAGTCGGATTCAGAATGAAAAAAGGGACCTTAATGGGGCTTTTGTGAGACAATTAACAACACAAATTAATTTCCCATGGTGCAGAACAAGTTGATGGGAGGAGGAACTATAAATAGAGAATTCTTGCAGTACTTCTCTTTTGCATCACGGTGAACAAAACGTGTACCCAAACACGGGCCACGGGAAAGTGAAAATATGACAAGTTCCCCTCGGGATGTCTTTACTCAGTCACGGTGGGGTGGATTTTCTTTATTTCTTTATCATCAGGCAGGACGGATGTTTACGCTCAGAACGAATAAAAATCTGACCTGGAACGGCCCGGGATTCTATGAGGTAACCGAGACAGACTCTTTATTATTCCAGCATGGGTGCCATATTTATCTAGCACGACCTCTCTTACCCAGTCCATCCTTGTAGAAAATACCGCTTGAAAAATAGCCTTTATGTGAGTGCCCCCTTTCCCACATTATTTCTGCAGTTTGCCCCCTGACACACAGGCTTTAAGACTTTTAAGACCAGCTTTTCATTCACCGGAGAAAACAATACAGCCCAATGGTCGCTGTTTGTCTCAATCAAATCCAGAACCTTTACAAAAAGACGCTGCCCTAACCTTCCCCCAGCCTCTTACTTTTAACTCTGTTGCATTTGTGAGCGTGAGGCTTAAGTGAGGTGATAAGTGACCCATCTCAATGAACACCCACAGAGTTGTGCCCATATGGTCTGCGTACAATTTAGCAAAAATAGCCTTTAATGGGAGAATAATTGTTTCCCAATGTGGTGGAAAAGGAGAATGAGCGATTTTCACTTCCCCACCTGAGACCTATAACTGTAGAATGCATACCTGGCCTGCGAGGCTGGAAACGGCCATCTTAATGTGCAAATGACAAGTGAAGACTTCAAGTTCTGTAAAATTATAAACGGTAGACAACCAGAGGGAAGGCAGTCCTCCATAATGTCCTGCAGTGTTTGGAAGGGAGAGGACCGGACTGAGGAGTAAAATTAGACAAGTCTTCAAATAGAACTGCAGTGTGCACGTTTAAAGGTACATTACACTTCTTTTGCAAGCCAAATGGTCCATTGGGCCTTCTCGAAGGCTTGTCAGTACTGCAACGACAACCTCAAGTCTCCCCTTTCTAGTAAACACAATGCTGTTAGTCTCCGTTTAAAGACAACTTTTAATTCTTGCAGTCTAATCTAAGCTGAAATTTAGAGGGAAAAAAGGAGCTAAGGCAATTCAGGACAATATAAAAAATGCTAAGAACAGCATCAAATGAGCAACGAATGGCTAAATAATAAAGATGGGGATTTCTGAGACTCTCAAAAGAAAGAATAAGGCCTCTATATAGATGAATCCAGCCTTGGATCTGCAGCTCTGGTAATCTTATCACAGCTGCAGCATACCGAGACTCTGGTAGAAGGATTTAGAGGCCAGCTCAGATCCAAGACACACTTGGGCAGTTTCCTGTCTGGACCACCTTAAAGGGGGAGTGCTGTTCATCGCACTGAGGCAACATTTAAGTGGAATAAAGTTGCTTCGTTATTGTCTGAAAGGTCAAGTGAGGTCAAAGAGGCAGAAGATTGAACTCTTCAGGGGTAATTGATTGATTTTTGCCCCATTCTTATTCTTCAGCAGCTGGTGGGGACGAGTCATTAAACTACCATTTAAAACTTCCCTGTGTCTCTCTGGGGCGCTCATTAGAAGAAACAATTAGGATGGTTGGGGCCAAGTATGCGCTCTGTAGGGGTGGGAATTGGATGCGAGGAAAGAGGAAACGGCAAGTGATTCAGCTGCAGAGGGAGGACTAGTTTTTCTCACAGGATAAGCGTGGTAAAGTGGAAAATGTCTGTAATGAGAAAAAAATACAGACTGCAGCAGCTGACCAAAGTTCATTGAACGGAGAGGGTTTTGCGTCAAAGACAAACAGAACTTATCTGACTGAAACTCGTGCCCACCTCAGGTCCTGTGAAATTATATTAAACAGAAACTGCAATTCATGTAAAGTTAAAGACGAAGAGGTTCTTGATAAGAAACGCGTTATGAGTAACCAACTCCGCAGCTCATCTCTGTCATAAAATACACGGAGAACAGATTGGCATGCAGATGTTTTGTAACGCTCTGGCGGTTTCGGTCATTTGTCTTTACTGAAACTGAACATTTGTCAGCTCGAGACGTGCTTCACAAAGACAATTACTTTATTATTTTACCCTCTGCAACCACCGAACAATAAAATAAACCACGCAGTGTGTCTTTCCAAAGCTAACGTTAAGTTAGCTAAGATTTGGTGAAGTTATCACAAGTAGCCCACGTACCGAATTCGCCAACTTCTCTCCTTCCAGCGACTACAATCCTCAGTAAACCCCTTTTTCTTCTGTGGTTTCTGGCTGAAAATATCAGGTTAATCCGTTAGTTTAGTCTCTTCACATGGTACATGCAGCTCAGACACACACATCCCAACTGCAGGTTATCAGCTCGTCCTGCGTCCGAGAACTAAACGGCTGCATCTTTGAAGAACTGCAAAGAACTGATGGCGCTTTCAATGTCTATCGGAAATGGCGCTTATGGGTCCATGCCACCCCACTAATTGTAAGTCAGCATGGCTTAGGATGCTGATTGCATTACACCCCCTGCTATTTTACCTTTAAACAGGATTAGCAGTGTATGTCGCAGAATAACTGCTGTTTTTATGGGGTGTAGTTTACTTCGTTGTTTTAATTCACAATTGTAACTCACTAACAACAATCAAAACAGACGTAGCAGAATAGCTCAAAGTGAAAAAGATTGCTTATATATAAGTCCGTCTCTCGAGTATTCAACAACAAACAAGACAGGCGTGCCTCCAGAATATTTTCATTGCGGTGGTTATGTGGAGGTGACTAAAAATATTGCGGCGGCACACCAAACACAGAATTTCCAGTTTTATGCTGTTGTCAAATATCCGTTACTTGAAAAATATGGCAAACAAGAATGAAAGAAAAATAATTATATGCCTAGTTAATTTCCTAATATTAAAGTTAAAGTTGATATCACTGAAAATAATTATAATTATTAAAATTATTATCAACATAGGACAGTCTTGGCAGACAACCCCCACCCACCCACACACACGCACACACCCACCACCACCACCAGTGGCGCCCCCGACGGTGGCGCCCCTGAAACAAGGAGCGCATGAAGTGTACATACCCAGAAGACGTAATATTTACGAGGAGGACGCGAACGCAGCACAGGAACGCCTGTTTTTGACATGCTGTAATGCTTGGTGGGTGTCAGATGTGTTCCCACATAAAGACATCTGGACTACATAGTATATATGTTTCTTTAAACAAAATGTTGGGTCCTTTAACAATAAATAAACAAATAAATATATAAAATCATCTTTACTCCCACCCACGGAATATGTATGCAAAGCAAAAGCTTGAGAAAGACATTGCAGCCTACCCCCGCCAATAACTAGGGTCAGGTCATCTGAAATGGGGACTTCACAAAAGATGGTGTCAGTGAGTGTATTGGGTGGGTGCTAATTTATGTGCGCTGTTGCTTTGCGCGACCCCCTCTCTCCTGTCCGCCTGAAAATAATGTCACCATCACCGCAGAAGGCTGGAGACAGCATGCTTTCCACTTTACAGAAGGAGTCAACACGATGGGAAAAGTCAGCTTTTACTGTCCCACACACCTTAATTAACTTAATGAACTTGACATACTCCCACCCATCTACAAAACGTGGCTGAAATTGGTTGAATTGGTGATTTTAAAGTTAAAAATTAGAAAGGCCAATATCGCCATCTGCTGGGAGCTTGTTATAAATCATTGCATCGGCTTCTAACAGTGACCAGATAACTACAAGCTACCTATGGGGCAGTGAAAACTGAATGTGTGTCATTTGTCATTTACCATTCTCACACACACACACACACACACACACACACACACACACACACACACACAC